AAAGTTCAAGATCACATTGGACTTGGCCAATCCAATTTCGTAGTTGGTTTGTTGCGATGGTTAATCAATTCAATAAAGTTGATTTAATTTGAAGCATGAAGTCGGGCTTTAATTTTGTAACAATAAATGAAAATTAAAAGTAAAAAACAATCTCAATAAGTTGCAATCTTGATTATAACAATATGTAATAACTACAATTGCATTTACAACAAATAATTACAATTGCATTTACGACTAGTTACAATTACAAGAATAAAAAGGTCCAGGTCTGTCGGATCAAACAAAAGCCAAGCCCAAGCCAACTCTAGCCAACCCAGCCCAGAAGTCAAAACCCAGGCCCAAATGTAACAAACTAGCCCAACCAGACTCGGACCAGATCCAATCTTGGTCAAACCGGACTGGTCAAACCGGAGCAGGCCCATATTAGCCAATAAAAACTCCCACTAAATGCCTCTTCTGCTATAAAATAGAAAACACGTCCTACCCTCTTTGAGGATAGAGGCAGTAGAAAAAACAGAGAGTCACCAGACTTCTTGATCCTTTCCCTTTCCCAGAGACACCTCCTCCTTTTCTTCTTTTTATTCTTCCCCAAGCTTCGTGTCCCGGCTTCTTCTTCTCCTCTGATCGATAGACAACACGAAGAACCTGCAAAATCTCTGCTTCTTCTCTTCTTCTTGGCTACGAAAATACACAAACAAATCACAGCAAAAATAGAACACCACAAAATCCCCTATCTTCTTAGCCACGTGCAGCCACAAAGAGAGACAAAGGAGGGCAAAAAAAAAAAAAAAAAAACTCAATATCTTTTTTTTTGGTGGAAAGACGACGCCAAAGGCGTCTTAATTCATATTACTAATAATCCGTTCCTGGGAAATACCCATAGCATCATACAAGATCCAATGTTTCAATCCCGGGTTGCTCACATCGAACGGATGTGTGCCAAAAGGGGATTCGTGACCTCTAGCTGCGAGAAAATCAGCAGCAGAATTAGACTCCCTATACACATGTGATATAGTAACCTCCCAATCTAAACTCAAAAGCTTCCTAATACTTTGTGCAATAAGCTCATAGTAATGATCCTCATTCCTCCTGCTCTTGATGATACTAATAGCAGTGGACGAGTCCAAAATCAAGCAAACTTTCCTGAAGCCTTTGCTCCAAGCCAACTTCAGCCCTTCTTTGATGCCTTTCAATTCTGCTCTCGTTATTGAGCAGCATCCAAGATTGCTAACAAAGGCTGCAAGGCCATTACCCAGATGGTCTCGAATGAGACCTCCTGCAGCAGCCTTTCCCTCGGGTAGCTGGACCGATCCATCCGTTGCTACTTGGACCCATCCGACAGCAGGAGCTTTCCATCCGATTTGGACACGCTTGGACGATCTAACCTGCAGGGTCAAGGAGTTCTGGAAGTTCTGTTGGGCTTTCCTGAAGATGTTGATCCATGCTTTGATCCGGTGGAGCAGCCCTTCTTCCGAGAATCTTTTACCTTCCATCGCTTCCTCATTCCTTTGCTTCCAGAGGTGCCAGCAAATGATACCGAAGTCGACTCCAGTTTCATCATCACTGATATTGTCCAATAGCCAATCCTGGAAAGGTATAGACATATTGGTGAGCTTCAAACTGCTCCTCATCTTCGACCAAATTGTGGACGCTTTTCTGCAGCTCCGCATAATGTGTTCAGTGCTTTCCTCGCAGTTTGGACAGTGTGGGCAGCAGCTAATCGTTGTAAGCTGCCTCCTGGTACGTTCCTTGTTGGTAAGAAGCCGATCGTGGGCTACCAACCAGAGGAAATGTTTCACCCTGCTTGGCCCTTTCCATCGCCACAACTCCTTCCAAATCTTCACCGGCTCCTCCTCCATCTCATTTGCAGCAAGTCTGTATGCTGACTTAAGCCGAAACTTCCCATCAGGTTCAGGTCCCCAGATCGTCATGTCCTCTCCTGCATCAGGGTCTGGCGTGTCCATCCCTACAATCATCAAAAGAATGTCATTAGGGAGTAGATCTCTAAGTCTCCCCAGATCCCACTCACCTGTCTCCGTGGTCCAATCAGCAACTGTCGAGGTGAGCTCCTCATCAGTGATGTCCTTCTGGAGGAAGTCTTGAAGGGTAATCCCACTATCAAGCCAAGGATGGGTCCAAAACCCTGTAGACCTTCCATTACGAATGCTCCAGCAGGTGGCGCTTTTCATCAGCGGCATGGCTTTCATAATTCCTCTCCACAAGTTAGAGTGATTACTTGTCTTCATTGACACGATATTCCCCTCCTTGTGTTTGAAATATTTTCCCTGCAGAACCTGCACCCAGAGGTCAGAGTCATTGTTCAGGATCTGCCATGCAAGTTTAATCATATAAGCAAGGTTCAAACTGCGAGCCGATCTAAGCCCTAGCCCTCCCATCTTTTTAGGTTTACAAATTGTATCCCAACTGACCAAATGCACCTTTCTTTTCCCAACTTCAGACCCCCAAACAAAGCTACGGATTTTTCTATCTATCTCATCACAAACCGAGACAGGGAGAAAAGAAGTCTGCATAGCATAGGTGGGGATTGCATTCAAAACTGACAAGGCAAGAGTAACCCTGCCCGCAAGTGACAGAGTCTTAGCTTTCCAGGCAGTAAGCTTCTGATCAATTCTATCCAAAATGTACTTATAAGTATACTTAGTAAGTCTCCCATGTAACACAGGAACTCCTAAGTATCTACCAAGATCCGAAGTTTCCTGAATTCCTAAGCAGTTACAAATGGCAGTCCTGTTGTGAGAGTTAACATTTTTGGAAAAAAAGACCCTAGATTTGTCTTTGCTAACCAATTCTCCTGACGCAGCACAAAAACAATTCAAACAGTTCATAACCACCTCAGCTTGCTTAAGACTAGAATCAGCAAATAACACCAGATCGTCGGCAAAAAACAAGTGAGACAAAGCAGGGCCACCAATAGACAAACACACAGGTTTCCAGTTCCCTAAGTTAACCTCCTCAAAAATGCAATGGCTCAGTCTCTCAACACATAAAGTAAAGAGATAGGGAGATAAGGGACATCCCTGACGAAGGCCTCTGGATGGTGTGAAGGTCTCGGTTTCTCCCCCATTCCAAAGTACTTGGAATTTTGTCGTCGTCACACACTTCATGATAAGGTTGATGGTCGAGTCAGGCAGCTTGGTGGCTTTCAGTGTCTCCTCCAAGAAGGGCCAAGCAATACGATCATATGCTTTGGCGAGATCCACTTTGAGAAGCATACACCCCTTCTTCCCTGTTCTTCTCGCCATGGAATGGACTGTTTCTTGAAGGATCAGGATATTAGAGGAGATGTGACGTTTGGGTACGAAGCTCGATTGGTTCTGGTGAACAAGACGAGGCATCAGATCCTTCAGCTTGTTAGCAATACATTTCGCCACTACCTTATAGCTCACATTACAGAGGCTAATAGGTCGAAACTGATTCATAGCTGAAGGTGAATCGACTTTGGGAATCAATGCAAGGAGAGTATCATTGATCCACTGGATTTTCTCAGGGTCTCTGAAGCAGGAAGTAATGCAGCTTGTGAAATCAGAACCCACAATGTCCCAAGCTTTTTGGAAGAAGATGGCTTGGAAACCATCCTTCCCTGGCGCTTTGAGTCCATTCATACTCATAATGGTCGCTTTCACTTCCTCGACTGCAGGAATGGCGCCAACCCTCTTCAATAGGGCATCATCAATGGGGGGGGGGGGGAAAGCAGCAGCCACCCAAGGTCGAACCTCCTCCTCCTCACTGGTGTAGAGTTTGACAAAGAACTCTCTTGCCATGTTAAGAAGGACATCCGGGTTGATCTCCCAATTGCCTTGTTCATCTCTAAGCCCCGAAATCGTGTTTCTCTTCCTTCTTCCCAGTGTACTATTATGGAAAAAGCGAGTGTTCTGGTCTCCATGAATATGCCAGTTAGCCCTAGACTTTTGGATCCAGAGTAACTCTTCTTGCCAGAGAGTGTCCTCCAAATCCTCCCTCGTCCTTTGTTCTTCCATTCTAGATCTCGTCGTTGGGTTTCTCTCGTTTATAAACTCCAGGGAGTTGAGTTTATTGGAGAGAACCCTTTTCCTCTTGAAGATGTTACCAAAAACCTCCTTATTCCACTTCTCAAGGTCTTTAGTCACCCCCTGCAAAGAGGCCACAAAATCACCCCCAGTCTGCCAAGCTGCAGACAGGAAAGGGAAAAAGTCTTCATGAGCAAGCCATGGCGCCAGGAACTGAAACCTCCTCGGAAGTCTTTTCTTCAGACTAGAACCCTGAGTGCAGGTGAGGAGGGGACGGTGGTCTGATTTGAGCTTCGTCAGGTGGAAAGTAGTCGTCGTTGGGAACTTCTGCTGCCACTCCAGATTGCAAAGGCTACGATCCAGTCTTTCCTTAAGCCGGGATGACTTGGTAAACCAGGTGAAGCTCGGTCCAGTATACCCTAAGTCAATCAGACCACAGTCCTGGATGCAATCACAGAAGTCTCTAACTTTAGCAAACCGGAACTTAGCTCCCCCTTGCTTCTCCGAAGGTCTCGTGATGGAGTTGAAATCCCCAGTGAGCATCCAAGGGAGGTGAGTTCTACTGTCAATGATTCTGATAGCATCCCATAGGGCTTTCCTATCATACTCATTGGGGCTTCCATAGACAGCAGTGAAATGGCAAGTTTCTTTGTTTTCCACAAAGCACTTGAGGTGAATGAATTGTTTATGGCAGTCCACCATCTCCAAGTTCACTTCTTTGCTGTCCCAGAGAACCCAGATTCCTCCACTAAACCCAACAGCATCAGAAACTTTCCAGGAATCATATCCCATAGTCTTGATAACAGAGATAGCATCCTTCCCACTGATCCTGGGTTCAAAAATACACACAACATTAGGTTGGTTCATTGTTTTATAAAACATAAAGGAAGACAAGAACTTAGGGTGGTGGGCACCCCTACAATTCCAAGAAAAAACTTTAATCATTGAGAAAGAAAAGTTCTTCCCTGAACAAAAATCAGATGTTGGAGTCTCTCAGGTGTCAACGGCCATAGCCGTCACAACACTTCCTGGCGCATCCGTTCCAACAGCAGGAAGTACCTGGTGTGCATTTTCTGGAACATCCTTCTCCTTCCCTGGACAGGAGTCGAAGACAATCATCCTGGGATTGAGAGTCCCACTTTCTGGGGGGTTCAAAGTACTCACAGAGCCCTTCGCAGGATCCTTCTTGTCCTTGCGGGTCCCTGGAGTTTTCTTTTTCTGCTGGTTTCCTGGTTTAACAGTTACTGCTTTGCCCTTATCAGTTTCCTGCTTCACCTGCTTCCTACCCGGAGTGTGACCACCTCCTCGCAGCAAGGAGGGATCAACCACATTGTTCCCCAAGCTAGCACCAGCCTTACTCACCTTCCCTTCACTTGCAGTCCTTGAGGAAGACAAGTCCAGGCTCTTAGATGACTCGGGCCCTTTAATTTTTTGTTGGATCACCTCTGGGGGAACTTTTTGGTCCTTCCTACCTGAGGTCTTTTGATTCCCCGAAACAAGTGGCAACATAGCTTCCTTCTTTCTTTCTTTCTCCCTATTATCAGCTGCTGAAGTCTGTTTAATGCCATTTCTTTTATCCCCTCTATTACTATTTTCACCAATGTTCATCTCCTCTGCTGGTAGAGTTTCTTCCTGAGCCTTAACCGTCTCTGCATCATGCACCTCTTTCCCTTCTTCGACTTCCAGCGCAGCAAAACGAGAGCCAGAATCGACACTAACTCTCTTATTCTCCTCATCATTACCATCCTCCTTAACTTCCCTACTTCTTGGAGGTTGCTTCTTTCTTCTGGGTCTTGTTGCTAGCATCCAGGGGCCATAATCCTCTATCACTTCTGGTCGAATCTCTTGGCTCACTGGTGATGCCTCACTTTCCTTACATCTTTCTTCTGGTGATGATGACTCTTTCATTCCAATTCTCGGGCAGTCATTCTCAAAGTGTCCATAATGCCCACAGTGAAAGCAAACTGTATGGAGGCCCTCATATTCAACTCTCCTCACCCTTCTTTTGAGCCTATACTTCGAGACAAGCCTCTTTCGCAGGTCGATTTCCACACAAATCCGGGCATAGTTCCCTCGAAACCCGTTAGCAGTCTGATAATCTATCTTCTCCACCCTGCCGAGTTTGTTCCCAATATCTCTTAGGATCTCCTCGTCAAAATACGCAAGAGGCAGCCGTGGAAGTCTGACCCAGACAGAGGTTTTGTTGATCGTGTCATAGCCCGGGTCAAAGTCTAACCTTCAAGGCTCCGACGCAATGTAATGATCATCGATCGTCCATGGCCCTCCATAAAGAGCTCTATTGTAGTCCAGCTGCGAGTCGAAAACAGCTTGACAGTATCCATTCCCAATATCCCCAATTTTTACCCCTCCTATCTTCGCCCACATTTTCTGCACTCGTCGATGGATGAAGGCAAAGGGGAAATGCTTACCCAGGACTCTGAAGGTAACCGCTCTATTCCATCGATTTTGAATTCTGGCATTTGTGCGTTTCTTTATTCTGATTGTAGGGCACTCCGGATCATCTTCGGCCTCCTCGCCTTCCGATTCGTCGGACATCAATTCATCCCCTTCTGGGATATCTGGTTGGGGCTTGTTCCCCAAGAAGGAGTCCTTGTAGGACGCTCGTGACGCCTCTGCTTTCGATTTGGTTGGCGACGCTTCAGCCGCCCCCGAATCCGCCGAATTCCAGACTTCCATCGCAGAGTCTTCATCTTGTACTCTAGCAGTGACAACAGAGATGTCCATAGTACCCATGCCCGAGAACCCTTCACTTGCAGTGGATTTCGATTTCTTGCTCGGTTGAACAGGTGAGGCCGCCGGCGAGCCATCCGGTGGTTTAAGGCTATGGTCTGCCTTCTCCAAAGGAAGTTTTGCTCCAACGGTCATGACGGGGAAAAAGAACGGGAGAAAAAGGAGGAGAGAGGGGAGAGCTTTTTTCTCTCTCTACTTTCCAGCTTTTCCTTCTCTCTCTTTCTAGAGCGACGGTTAAACTGAGAAAATTTAAAAAAAAAAAAAAACTCAATATCTACTTCTTCACAAATCCGCACAACAACATAAAAGCTCAAAATGGACAAGAAGACAACATCAAAAAGTTAGAAAAACAACACTTACACACCCACAAAAGTTCAAAAAGAGGGGACAGAGTCATCACCAAACGATAAGTAACCAGGTTGGTATCTTATCGTCATCATCACTCATGATCGTCTCATTATAAGTTTTTATTTCAAAATATCAAGCTCATAATCTAATTTTCTATTGAAACCGAATCAAACACATCTCAAAGGTTGAAAGATCCATTTCAATTAACGGTTTACCCAATCAACACAATTTCTAAACAAGTGCCAATGCCCAAAAACGACCCTAAACCCCAAATTTCCATATTCAATCATCACAACACAGAATTTCCAGCTTTCAAACCCGTCATCAGCAAACCAAACATCAATTTCAAACCCACAATACAAAAAGTTATCTCGGTTTGAAATCTCTAACCAGTCTAATTTGAGTTTGGGAAAGATAATACCAGAATCCTTTCAAAGCATGAAATCTACAAAAACAATAGACCAGAGTCATAATCTATAAACAAAAGATCGAGTAAACGCCGAAATAACCATACCAGTTTTATTTAAAAAAACCTACCCTCTTGTCATCGTCGCCGCTGGTGAAACCAAGAGCTGCCGGTGGCGGTTTCTTTTCCTTTGATTCCACTACCGCCGTCTTTTTCCCTCGGCTAGAAACCAAAGAAAAACACACAAAATAAGATTAATCAGAATCGTAACCATAAAACAAAAACAAAAACAATGAGAAAATAAACAACCTACCCGGAAAATTCCTTGTTGTCTTCGAATCTGCCGTCAGTGAAGTTTGAACTCGCCGACGACCATCTCCTCTTCTCGGACACCGGCGACACACATAAGTTAATCTGCTAACTGCTATATTCTTTAGCAGATACTCACAGGGCCAGATTTTCGGCCACGTCGGCCCATGTTTCATCCAACGGAGGAGAGAGATGGACTCGTGGTGGCTCACTTAAGTGAGCTGGAGATGGGCTTCGGGGTAGAAGCCGGCCCAGCGTGCGGCGCAGAAGACGAGCCGAGGAATGGCTTTGTGGGCCCAGCTTCAATTTGGGCGGGATTTTGGGTAGGAGTGGAAAGAGAACGAAAATTGTGGGCCCGCGTGGCCATGGGATATTTAAGTATGTATGTTTGTGTGGATATTTATTTGTTTTCAGTCGATATTATTCTGTATTGTGTTGATATTACTTTGCATCATTGTTGAAATGAACTAGTATTCTTCCTTCGCAAACCAATATCCATCATTAAACTAATATTTACCAAACCCCAAAATAACCCAACCACCCGAAACTTATTACACCAATTTAGAGTTTAAGGTTTAGGGTTTATGGTTCGGGTTTTCAATTTGTGAAGGATTGGAATATTGTTTCTTACATCAAATTAAACACACTAGGAAATTAAACACACTAGGAAGTCCTAACACATAAGGCTTGCGACCTTAGTTAGGGCTGCCCGCTGAGGGCCCATGGGCCGAGGGCCCATTAAATAATAATAGTTTTCTGGTTTAGGGTTTGTGTTACGATTTAGGGTTTAGGGTCTAGCTTAGGTTTGAATTGATATTAGTTCATATTTTTGGAAATTTTCTTGGACTTTTGGATATTCTAATAGGGCACTTTTGGTAACTATTAAAATGTTTTCCAACATTTATTTAAACATCTAGCACTTTTGGTAACTATTTGGATTAGTGTACAACTATATATTAGTCAGTGTGTGGTGGATATTAGTCAGTATATGGTGGATATTATTTAGTGTGTGTTGGATGTTAGTCAGTGTGTTTTGGATATTAGTCTATTATATTTACAATATTATTTAGGTGCCACTAGATATTTGTCTGAGACGTTTGGATATTGTTCTTAGGGTTTGTGAAGGTTTAGGGTTTAGGGTTCAATGGTTTAGTTTTGAGGGTTTAGTTTTGGTTTGAATTGCTATTAGTTCATGTTTTTGTATATTTGACTGAGACGTTTGGATATTCTAATGAGGCACTTTTGGTAACTTCCCATTAAATAATAGTTTTTATGATTTAGGGTTTGTGTTGTGAAGAGGGTTTAGGGTCTAGTTTTGGTTGGAAGTGATATTAGTTCATGTTTTCGGAAATTTTCTTGGACGTTTGTACATTCTAATGGGGCGCTTTTGGTAACTATTAAGATGTTGTCCAACATTTATTTAAACATCTAGCACTTTTGGTAACTATTTGGATTAGTGTACAACTATCATATATTAGTCAGTGTATGGTGGATATTATTTAGTGTGTGTTGGATGTTAGTCAGTGTGTTTTGGATATTAGTCTGTTATATTTACAATATTATTTAGGTGTCACTAGATATTTGTCTGAGATATTTGGATATTGTTCTGTAGGGTTTGTGTTAAGGTTTAGAGTTTAGGGTTAAGGTTTTATTGGTTTAGTTTTGGTTTGAATTGATATTAGTTCATGTTTTTGTATATTTAACTGAGTCGTTTGGATATTCTAATGGGACACTTTTGATAACTGCCCATTAAATAATAATAGTTTTTATGGTTTAGGGTTTGTGTTAGGAAGAGGGTTTAAGGTTTAGGGTCTAGCTTTGGTTTGAAGTAATATTAGTTCATGTTTTCGGAAATTTTCTTGGACGTTTGTATATTCTAATGGGGCACTTTTGGTAACTATTAAGATGTCTAACATTTATTTAAGCATCTAGCACTTTTGGTAACTATTTGGATTAGTGTACAACTATCAGATATTAGTCAGTGTGTGGCGAATATTAGGCTGTTATATTTACAATATTATTTAGGTGTCACTAGATATTGGTCTGAGACGTTTGGATATTATTCTGTAGGTTTGTGTTAAGGTTTAGAGTTTAGGGTTAAGGGTTTAATGGTTTAGTTTTGAGAGTTTAATGATTAGAGTTTTAGAGTTTAGGGGTTAGGGTTAGGGTTCAGGTTTAGGTACAACTATTAGATATTAGTTAGTGTGATGTGGATATTTGTCATTCTTAGTTGTAATATCTTTTATTGATCACAAGTTTTTTCTCTGAAATATTGGGATATTTTTCTGGGTTGTGGGGATATTTATTTGAACATGAAGAAATATCCATTCAGTTCATGTGTTTGGATATTTGTGTGGAACCTTTGAATATTTTCGGCTTGGGAAAACAATATTTTTTTATGTTTTAGAGTTTAGTGATTAGGATTTTAGAGTTTAGGGTTTAGTTTGTTTGTTTAGGGTTTAGGGTTCAGGGTTCGGGTTTAGGGTACAACTATTAGATATTAGTTAGTGTGATGTGGATATTAGAAGGGTGTCTATGTGGACGTGTATGACAAGGTTTGTGGCTTTTACATGGATTGGTTTGTGGCGATGTTCCTTGATGTCCTTGTTGAGTTGTTTTTCATTTCCAATTCAGAGTCGGATGATGATGATAACACCGGTGAAACTAGTATCATCGTTGAAATGAACTATTATTCTGTGTTTAGTATCCATCCTTCACCAACCCAGTATCCATGTCTTTATTAAACTATGCGGATATTAGTTTAGGACGATCGAATATTTGGTTGTGTTATATCCAGACTCACTTAAGTAACATTGGACCTCACATAACTAATATGAGAGCATAAAATCCAGACAGCGCAGATTAATATCCATACATTTCATAACTAATATCCAGACCTAACATAATAATATTCCAGAATAACAAACTCAAATCCATAATAAATAAGAGTTGTTCATCGACAAACCGCGATAAAACTAGTTATCCAGTGATGTGCCTCCACCTCCCCTTCTCATGGAGGAGCTGGAATCGAACAGCTTTTGGATCTTGTCATCTTGCAAAATTCCTGAAATACATGTAAAGAAATCATTAGGCATATGCACAGTCCAGACTAATATCCATATAGGGCATACAAATATCCAGACCTAGCATACAAATATCCATGCATCATGGGCATGCTAAATATCGACATTCAACAAACTGGTATCCCAAACATGTTAAATAATATCTCAGGTCAACAAACTACCATATTAACGAGCAAAACTGAGAACCCCCAAAACAATATCCACATTCAACAAAATGGTAACCCAGGCATGCTAGATAATATCCCCGATCGACAAACTATCTTATTAACAAGCAGAACTCAGAACCCCCCTAACAATATTCATATTCAACAAACTGATATGCCAATCATGCTAAATAATATCACATGTCAACAAACTACTATATTAACGAGCAAAACTCAGAACCCCCCAAACAATATCCACATTCAACGAACTGGTATCCCAAACATGCTAAATAATATCTCAGGTCAACAAACTACCATATTAACGAGCAAAACTCATATGCCCCCAAACAATATCCACATTCAACAAAATGATATCCCAAGCATGCTAAATAATATCACATGTCAACACACTATTATATTAACGAGCAAAACTCAGAACTCCCCAAACAATATCCACATTCAACGAACTGGTATCCCAAGCATGCTAAATAATATCTCAAGTCAACAAACTAACATATTAACGAGTAAAACTCAGAACCCCCCAAATCGAATCCCAAGGCATAGAAAGCGAATCTCAAATCCCCTGACAGGAATACCAGATCCCTAACAACGAATCTCAAATCCAAAAAATGAAGCAAAAAAAAAAAAAACTCAGGTCCAGTTGAATCCATGAAACCCTAAATCAAATAACAAGAATCCCGAATCTCAGATCCCAGCCACAGAAAATCACAGATCCCCCAAATCGAAAGAAACCCAAATCCCCCAAATCTAAAGAAATCCAGATCCCCCCAATCGAATCCCAAGTCACAGAAAGCGAATCTCAAATCCCCCGACAAGAATCCCAGATCCCCAACAAGGAATCTCAGATCCAAAAAACGAAGCAAAAAAAAAACTCAGATCTAGTCGAATCCATGAAACCCTAAATCAAATATAAAGAATCCCAAATCTCCCAAATCGAATCCCAGATCCCAGCCATAGAAAATCCCAGATCCCCCAAATCGAATCCCAAGGCATAGAAAGCGAATCTCAAATCCCCCGACAAGAATCCCAAATCCCCAATGACGAATCTCATATCCAAAAAATGAAGCAAAAAAAAAAAAACTCAGATCCAGTCGAATCCACGAAACCCTAAATCAAATATATGTAATCCAACCCTAAATCTACAAATCTAGAAACGAAACCCTGAACCCTAAATTTTGAAATAGATAAACGAAACCCAGATCTCCACAAATAAAATCAACAATAAGGAGAGGAGAAGACGCCAACCTGAACCAAAGCGTCCTCCTTGCAGTCGTCTTCTACCTCCCACTACCGGCGGCGGTGGCGTATTCCTTCTTCATCGGCGACGTCGTTGTCTTCTTTCTTCAAGGACGGCGAAAACCTTCCAAAAACTTCTTCCTCGTAGGGATAGCTTCAACGTCGTCGTCGGCGTGGACTCAAACAAGTCGTCGCCGACCTTGCATCCTTCGTCGCCGTCGCTCGGAATTTTTGGTGGTGGTTTTCGGGAGAAGAAGAAACGGAGAGGGAGAGAACAAAAGATTTTTTTTTTGGAGAGAGTGAGGAGAATGAAAAACGCCGGTTGAGGGAGAGAGAAGAGGGATTGGGTTTGAAAATTTATGGTTTTTTTTTAATTGTGGGCCCACTTCTCCCAAAACACGGCTCGGCTTGGGCCTGCCGAGCTGGCCCTCTCTTCCCCCTCACACGAAGGCGCCGGTAAGCCCACTCCCTCCAATCGTGGCTCGGCGACGTGGCCTAATATCCCACCGTGTTAGTATCTACTAACCACTTAAAGGGTTAGCAGAATAACACTATTGCCGGCGACACTCATTCTTTTCCCTTTCGGCGCAGGCATGCGATTTCCCTTCTACCTTTTTTTTCTCCCTTCGATCGAACCCAAAAAGCAAACACAAAAAGGACCAGAATACCCTCGAAAACCCCAAATATCAAACATGCAAATGAGGAAGAAGCCGATCTTACCTCCGTCGCCGTCGCCATTACCATCATCGGCATCTATCGAGGCTTTTGCTTCGCGGCCGTCATTTTCATTTTGTTCTTTCCCCTTTGCCGTTCCTCGAAAGGAGAAGAGAGGGAAAGCGGGTGGCGGGAGATCGAAACAAAAGAGACAGAGGAAGAAGGAAGCGGAGGAAGAAGGAGCAGCGGCGGTTTGGCTTTGCCGCCGTCGATCTCCGTCGTTTGGTGGAACAGAAAAGAGAAAGACGGAGAATGAGGAGGAGGAGAAGGCGGCCGGATTAGAGTGCTAGGGTTAGGGATTTTGGGTCTTAAGAGATGTTTATATAACCTGGTTTTTTAAAGTGACCAAGATGCCCTCCATCTTTCACAAAAATCACCTACTGCTACCTTCCTTTTGCTGAAAAAGGAAGCAAAAATTTAATGTTTTTCAAAGGTTCGAATCATAAACCTTCCAGTCACAATGTTTGTTGATCGACATTCTAAACCACTAGACTGGTCTCTCAACACTTGCACACTCAATAATCTCTTTGGATTTTAACACTTTAACATCTTTAATACGTAAAATTTAAACGTGATCGAATCTTTAGTTAAGGATTAATTTGATTACTAATATACCCAAAGTGTATCTTATATTCAATCATTGTGAGATAATTAAATTTTTCTATGTCAAAATATGTTTTTTAACAACTCTTATAAAAAATCATGGTTAATAGACCGCGATAATTGTTCATGGTGAAAACGTTCAAAGGTCATTCATCACTCTATCACTAAATTGAGACATCATAAATACATTTCGTAACAACTCAATTATCATATCAGACACGATCAATAGAATGTGTTATGATCACTTCAAAATCACTCATTTTAACCGAACTACGTGGACTTTGATCCCGACTACTCGGGTACGTAGGCAACCATTAGGTTCGAGTCCAACTAACAAATTTTCTCTCCTTAAATCACAAATACCAAATAACATCTCTTAAATAAGAACATCAATTATTATCTTAATCACGTATCAACAGAAACGTGTTAAGATCCCCTTTCCAAAACCTCTAAATTTAAACGACTAACCAAAAACTCTTTCTTTCCTTTTGAGAATTACGTCAATAGAAGTCTGATCAAATCATCATAATAGTCAATTAATTAATTGAATCCAATAATTAAATACATAAATAAAGTCAAATAATAATAATACACCCACACGTAACCGTACTCCCGAACCCATAAATATACAATTTCGCAGACCAGAATCTGGTTTGGAACCTAAGTTTGAAACCGTACCAAATGGTGTTCGATCCACCACAAGTACGGTCGATGGCGACTCCGAGCATATTCGCGACGGGTCCCCCGATCTCGAGGGGCGATTGCGAAAACAATATTCAAACGTTAATTAATATAAAATTAACTAATTAATTAAACTACCAAAAGACTCAATTCTTATACTTTTCTTCTCCAATCAATGTGGTATTACAACTCTATTGACTAACTCTAACAACGATTAGTGTTTCAATTCAACCTATTATTATTATTATTATTATTATTATTATTATTAAGAATAAGAATGGACGAAAATCCTTACTTTGGCAAATTGCCCGCGGAGCTACTAGGGAAGATAGCCACCGTGTTGTCGCTTGATGTGGCGTTGAGGACTACCGTCCTCTCCACGGTACTGATTGTCATTGACATGGATATGACTTCTGTCGGTGTGCAACTAATGCTGATACTAATACTGATACTGATACTCTTTTGTTGTTATAGATGACTAGATAAGTCCGCTCGCTGCACTTCGCATGAAGCTAGTAATGTAAAATGATATATATGTGAATAAATTAACCTGTAAGGAATAAAAACTCAAAATACAATAGGCCTAGCTCTATGTGATGTAGAAAGTAACATATGGTAAAATTAAACATGGTAAGAGGCTCTACGAATCGGAACATCTAAGCAGCCGACTACGAATTGAGGAAACGCATCTTGCAATAAATTGAAGTAAACAATAAAATATAAACTCGTTGGCTAATGCATAGGTACCTATTGGAAGCAAAAAAAATCCGAAAATTGTTTTTGGTTGTGGGACTTTATTAGAATCTTTGAGACTACATTAGTGTTATTCTCTTACTCTCCAATCAGTACTATTGTAGCGACATGATTCTCCCCCTTTGTGGGGGTACTTATATTTAGCAAATCATGAATTATTTTTAGTTACAATTGAGGATGAGAATTGAGAAATGTTGGAGTATTCAAAATATAATACAAACAAAATAGTGAATTTCATCACAATAACAATGCAAAATGGTAAATAAAAAAAAATTAAAAGCATTAAAATATTTCCAATAAAATTAATAAAAGGAAAATGAGGTTAATTACTAAAAGAGAGGGGATGATGTGTGGAGGAAAGAACAAGGTGATTGTTGAATGGGCTCCACTTGATGAAGTCATGCCCGTAGAGTTTGGGTTAATAACATAAAAATTGCTTAATGAATAGTAGATTCAAACCATCCTTTTTATAATAGAACTACATATGTCCGCTCGTTTGCGCTTCGCGGTGAGTGAAAAATCATTAAGATGGTGTGAGAGAGGTTCGTAGTAATTTGCACTGACTGGCCAATGAAGTTATGAATTAGTGGATGACGATCTACATATTTGTAACTCGACAACTATTCATTAGAGAATTTACAAAGTTTCTACGTTTGAAATGAAAAATAACAAAGAGAAAAAAAGATGGAAGAATGTATCATCTAATTATGTTGGTTCCGATGCCACTTTCACCATTTTAATAGAGAGCGAGAAAGAGATGAGTATTAATGCAAAACCAAATACTAACAAAGAGGTCAATTCCCAACAAAAAAAAATATGTTTAATAATGATAACCCATATTAGAACCAAATACAAAGAAAGATAACTAAAGATGTAAAACCACATACGAAGAAATAGTCTATTGAACACCACAACGATAAAAATACACATATTAGGAGATAAAAAATTAGGAATAAAAGCAAAAGAGATATGAATAAATAGATACATGAATAAAAAAAAGTAAAAATTATTGGTAATGAGGGGAAAGAGAGAGATTAATGGATGTGATCCACCTTAATGAAGTATTGTAATTGAAGTTGGGATTATTTACGGTTTTACCGCTTAATGAATAGTAAGTTTAGAATCATGTTTTTATAATAGAATTATTGTGATGTAATGTCTTCTATTGCCTATGATTTCTGTTTCATTCTCCTTTCTCTTTTCTTCTCGTAATAACTTTGGATTGAAACTTTACCTATACTAACCCATTTTTGTCCTAGCTAGTAACTCTCCTTGTTTGTAGCGGTGTAAATGGGTCGGTTTGGTCATATTAATCATCTGACCCATACATTACGATTTTGAAAATAATAAATTCAAACCCACCCAAAAATTCTATAACCCTACGATTGTTTATAGTTGGGTTTGGTCGGGTTGGAGATATTTTTAATTAAAAACTCAATCCAAAAAAAAAAAAACAGCTATTATACACCAAATATTATATACCTGATTAAATTTATAAAAATATCAAGGTGAAAAGTATCAAAATGCTAAATAGTGTTTGCATCAAAGTCATCCAAACAAAATATTTATATTGGTTGGAGTAAGTGTTAACACCATGCTAACAAAAAATGTGTTAGCATTCTAGCCTCTCCCAACCACAAAGTATTATATAACTAATTAAATTTATAAACAAATAAATCAAAGTGAAAAGTATCAAAAGGCGTAAATGGTGTTTGCATAAAAGTCATCCAAACAAAATATTTCTATTGATTGAAGTAAGTGTTAGCACCATACTAACAAAAAATGTTTCAGCATACTAGCCCCTCCCCACCACAAAGTATTATATAACTAATTAAGTTTATAAACAAATAAATTGAAATGAAAAGTATCAAAATGCGTAAATGGTGTTTGCATAAAAGTCATCCAAACGGAATGTTTCTGTTGGTTGAAGTAAGTGTTAGCACCATATTAACAAAAAATGTGTTAACATACTAGTCCCTCCCCATCCACAAAATATTATATAACTAATTAAATTTATAAACAAATAAATCGAAATAAAAAGTATCAAAATGTGTAAATCATCTTCTTCCTTCTTCCTCCCGCTGCTCTGCGGAATGATTTTTCAATTCCATTGCTGAGTGCTCACTTCTTCACCCCTGGTCCGCAATCTTGAGTAAGTTATTCCGATTGTCGAAGAATCTGTTTCTCATCTACGTTTCCTGTGCCATTCCATGTCGTAGTATCTCCTTTCTTTGTTAGCAACCCGAGTTTGTGGGTTGGCATCAACCTATTTAAGTTCTTTCTTTAGAATCAATAAAAGTCGTCAAATTGCATCCAGTTTGAGCTTTCAGGGGAGATGTGGTCGATCTACCCGCGTCACCTGGGTAGGTCTCTTTCGTCGGAGCTTCTGAAACTCTACCTGGAGTTGGCGTTGAAGGCCAAAGTGGCAGCCGTCGCCGCACTGGAGTGATGGTCGTCGGAGAAGACGCCGGAGAAGAGGCAGCCGTATGGCCGCCAGAGCTATCTTCACTTTCTGCTTTTTAGAAGTCAGACGAGACATTTTGTTATGGGCCTCATTTTGGGCCTGGAAACTGAGAGTTCTGTTTTGGGCTGCTTCACTGGATTTTGAAATAAGGGCCTTTTTTTGGGCCTGAAAACTTAGAGTTCTGTTTGGCTTTACTGGATCTTGAAATATTTTCTTTGTATCTTGGAAAGTGATTGGCATAGGTCTAGTAGGAACTAGAGAGGTCGATGCGTTTGGATTTGGAGGGCCCCGAGGTTGTTGGATTGGATTGGGTTCGATCGAGGAGTCAGACGAGAGTGTCAGTGGCGGTGGAAGGGATGGCACCGTCGGCGGCAGTTTTGCTAGCTTGTTCAATCTTTTTTTTTGTCTTCGATGCCGACGTCAATTTTAATGGGTTTTTTTTTCTGAAGCAGAAGGATGGGCAAAGTAGACGAAGAAGATAGGTGCTGAAGTGGGCGGGCTTTTGCTGAGCCCAAGTAGGGATGGCAATGGGTCGAGTCGGGTGCGGATAGTGCATATCCATATGAGAAACGGGTAGAAAATCAAAATCAAGCCCATACCCGTTCGGGTTTCGGGTATCCACGATTATCCATGGGTAATAATTTTCCTTTATAACTTCAATCAATATTCTAACATTAATACGTATTTTCACATTACGTTAGAGGAAAAGTATGACAATAATTCACTAGAATGAAGAAAATTAATTAAAACAACATAATTTCATGAAAATACTATATTTATATGGTTAATACAAAAAATGTTAGAGAAAATTAATGATTATTTCTAGACAAAATACATATGCATGTGTATAATCAGTCGGGTTCGGGTTGGATAGTGAGAAAACCATGTCCACCCATTACCCGCAATATTCGGGTTCGGATTTTACCCGTACCCACTAAAAGTCTTTCGGGTTCGGGTTTTACCCTATTCGACAAAATCGGATTCGGACAGATATCCACGGTTACATATATTTTTGCCATTTCTAAGCCCAAGCCAAGCCCAAATCCGTTGGTTTGGCCCGATTTCTTATAAAAAAACCAAATATATTTCTTTTATGTTTTGGTCGAACTACGTTGGCGCTTCAATATTTATTCAATAATCTACTCGAGTCTCAAGATAGGGTGCATAACCATGGGTTATGCATCCATCAATAACTAAATTTGGACCATTC